CCAAAGATCTCGTCCCTAACCACCTGACATTCTGTTTGTACAACCATGCCGCCATTTTCCCTGTTGACAAGTTCCCCCTGAGCATGCGTACAAACGGGCACTTGATGCTGAACGGGAAGAAGATGTCCAAGAGTACCGGTAACTTCTTAACACTGCGAGATGGAATTCGCAAGTTCGGTGCGGACGCGACAAGGTTGTCATTGGCTGATGCCGGTGATGGGCTTGAGGACGCCAACTTTGAGGAGAAGACTGCGAATGCGAATATTCTTCGTGTGCATACGCTCTTGGGTTGGTGTGAGGTATGGTTGAGCTCAGAAGCTTTTCTTTTATGTCATGAACTTATGCTTGTTTTCCAGGACGTCATCAAGGATGAAGCGAACCTTCGTAGCGGTCCTCGTAACTACCATGACGATGTCTTTGAACAGGAAATGAATGAGCTCACTAACATCACCCAGGGTCACTATGAAGCGTAAATCGTCACCCCCTCGACAAGTATACTTGGTCACTAATTTTTTGCAGAATGAACTACAAAGATGCTGTCAAGTTTGGTTTCTACGAGTTCCAGAGCGCTCGCGACTGGTACCGTGAAGTAACCTCAGATGTCGGAATGCATCGTGATCTCGTGCGTTATTGGATCAATGCTGCCGCGCTCATCATCACCCCAATCGCGCCCCACTTTGCCGAACACATCCACTCTACCATTCTCAAATCCCCTACCTCTATTCAGCTTGCCCTATGGCCCACACCAACGAAGCCCGTCGACAGAACAGCCCTCGAGGCCGCGGTCTACATGCGCGACACGATCAAGACGATCCGCGATGCGGAGGTCTCCCTGCTCAAGATGCTGCAGAAGGCCAAGGGCAAGAAGGGACCAGGCGGACCGGGGGTGGCGTTCGATCCTAAGCTGCCGAAGAGCGTACGGATTTATGTCGCAACAACGTTCCCTGAATGGCAGGATACCTGTGTGCAGGCAGTGAAGGACGCTTACGATGAGCAGACGGACAAGGTTGACGATGCGAAAGTGAAGGTACTGCTGGAGGAACGTGGTCTCATCAAGGACAAGCGTGCTATGCCCTTCGTTCAGGCATTCAAGGTCAGTATCTTCTCCTAACTTACCAGCTTGTTTATAACCATAAATGTGTTCATAGAAACGCATGGCCCAATTCGGTGCCCAAACAGCCTTCAGGCGTGCTCTGCCATTCTCTGAGAGCCAGGTCCTGCGAGAAATCCTGCCTTATCTCAGGAAATCCTTGGGTCTCGTCGATGTAGAGGTTATTTCCGTTGAGGAGGCAAAGCAAAAGGAGGGTGAAGCAGGCTATACAAAGAGCATCATTGATAGCTCGGAGCCTGGTGCTCCCGCCTTCGAATATCGTAACGTGTAAACTGCAATGTATTTAAAGCTCTGATATATAGAAGTAATTGCTATCGCTAACGGTAGAGTCGAATAATAATTGGAATAGCTGATGATGAACATTTGAAGAAAGACACGGTGAGAAGTATGGGATCCAATAATCAACAATTGCACAGAGGGTTGTCCTTCATAGATGAGACTTCGACGTAATGCCCGATCAACGCAAGGTACCACAATTAGACGACCGGATTGCAGGTAGGAAGATTGATTTCCCAGAATTTGATTCTGGTGGTCCGTAGGTGCAGACCTATTCTATCTCTCAAACTTCGAATCGATGTCTTGATGGACCATTCATTGTACATGCGAATAAATTAAGATTATTGGGTAAAGGATAAATACGGAAGTCCTGTGTATGTCAAGTATCTCAGAAATCGGATCTATATAGCTTCCGTCCCACCCTGCGTCTTCATCTTGTTATGATTAAGTTGACCATCTGAGGATTCGTTACGGATGAAACGGCCAGGCCAGAAAGGCGTGTATATCGATGTGGCAAGGAAAAGAGGGAGAGTGTCTAGACCATAGAAGAAGGCTTCGGTCGTCGCAAGGTGTCCACTGAACCCTTGGGAGAGCTCTACGACACGATAGAAAGAACGTATCTTAG